AAATAAAATAAAATAAAATAAAATAAAATAAAATAAAATAAAATAAAGTAAAATAAAATAAAATGAAATGAAATGAAATGATATGAAATGAAATGATATGAAATGAAAAGAAATAAAAAGACACAGAATGAAATAAAATAAAATGAAATGAAATGGAATAAAATGAAATGAAATGAATTTAATTGAAATAATGAAATGAGGAGGATGAAGTCCACGTAAGTGGGAAGAACTTTTGACTGTCATTCACCTAGGAGTGGCCAGAAGCTATTCTTGTGTGTACGGTTCAAATCGTAGCTCACAACGTCCGGATATTTATATCCACGTATCCTCTGGGTAACGACCAAACACCCGTTAGGGAGCGAGCTAGAGTGAGAAGGCGTAAAAGTTCGCGTGCGCTGGTTTTGGGTCCCGCCACGTTAAAACCCCGCCCAATGAAAACGAACAAACAGTCTCGGATGATACCCTCTTTTTCTAATGACGAACGTCTAAAGGACTATGTAACTTGAATATCCGTACCCTTAATGGGGAAGGTGCCTCCACCCGGCTGGTTGATGTCCTCGGGAAGACAAAGGCTGGCATCACCGCCATCCAAGAAAGGCGATGGGCGGGGAAAGGCAAGGTAAGCGCGAAGCCTTGCGAAGTCTACTACAGTTGCCACGTAAAGGAGCGCAAATTCGGTGTTGGATTCGTGGTAGGAGAGAGACTCCGTCGCCGAGTACTGGCGTTCACGCCGGTGGACGAACGTCTAGCCACAATCCGCATCAAAGCGATATTCTTCAACATCTCGCTCATTTGCGCCCATGCCCCGACGGAAGAGAAGGGCGAGGTGTCCAAGGATCTCTCTCAGAGCACTCTTCAACAAACCGACACACTCGAGCAGTGGAACTACATTTCCCGTTCATTAAGTATTGCCGCCGAAGAAGTAATAAAATTAAAAGAACCGAAATGAAATAAAATGAATTAAAATGAAAAAATTAAATTAAATTAAGCAAAATGAAATAAAGTAAAAAATGAAATAAATTAAATAAGTAAAAAAATTAAAGTAACGAGAAATAAAATTATATAAAATATATTATACTAAAGTAAATTGAAATGAAATGACAAAATTAAATTAAGTAAAAACTTAATATATAAGTCAGTAAAATTAAATAAGTAAATTGAAATGAGAAAAAATAAAGTGAATCAAAAAAATAAAGTGAAATTGAATGAAAAAATTTATTGAAGCGGAATTAAAAAAAAAAGACAAAAACAATAAAATGGAATAATTCGAAATGAAAGAAATTAAAGCGGAATCAAATTAATTGAATTGAAATAAAATGAAATGAGGTGAATTAAATTAATAAAATATAAAAAAGGAGAAATAGATACAAAATTATATTGAGAATTAAACGCGGAAACGAAATTTTTAAATACCAGAAAAAGAAAATCCTCTACCGAATCCGTTAAAATTAAATGAAAGGTAAATTTGCTAAGTCCAAAAGGGGTACAAGAGATGGGATAAGGTAAAAATGATGCGAACTCTTGTAATCAACATTGAATGGTTTTGAATTGTACCGTGTTTTGATTTGATTTAAACATGCAAACTATTGTATTCAAAGTTTCGCAAAACACTTGAAAATAATCTCTTTAAGAAGTTTATTATTCCCCTATAAAGTTTTGAAAAATCTACTTAGCCACTTTTCACTCTAAGCTGGCGATATATTTAATTGTTCTTCTACTTTTGATACTCTTTTTTTTGCAAAATTATTAAATAATGCCTTCAATTATGCTTATCTGACTAATTAAGGAGTGTGGACACATCGAAAGTTCACCTTTTTTCAGATAAGAATTAAAAAAAAATTTAATTTAATTACCTTTTATTTCGCGTTAATTAACCATAAAACTACATTGGAAGCGATACGTTATTGAAAATTTTTAAGCTTATAATTACTAATAATACATTTTACATCTAGTTGATTGCCTAATGTTAGACCTAGTTGCTGTAGTAAACTTGCACAATTTCCATGTACATGTATGTATGTAAGAAGTTAAATACATACATATGAACATACATATATATAAATTAGTTCGAATTTTTCGATTTGAGTAGGATTACATTACGGTATTTCAAAATCTCCAAATCTCTTAGAGAATCACATTTTTTTTTTATTATTTCTTACACCTTTTTTGTCAATGGATTTTAACGATATACACTAACGGTTGTTATAAGCTACTTCAACTAATTAAAAATTTATGTGTGTTGCTGCATATTTTATGTAGACAAATTGGCGCGACGCTAGCATGACTCCTTGTTGCAATCGACAAAATTGCTGAGCTCTGTTGAATTTGGCGGTCCCTCGCTGTAGAGATATGTAACAGGCCAGAGACGCGCGGCCGTAAAATCATTCAAACTCTGTAGACCACCAGGGCGTGGCGGTCGCTGATAGTCCTTATTCGAACTATTGTTGCCACTTGAAGATTTCTTTTTTTCGCTTTTAAGTGTTGAAAATTTGATGCTGGAGTGTGTGTGTGGAATGGGCGTTGTTGCTGTTTTATTACCAGGGAAATAGCGATCGCTACATTTGCGCCACTGATCGGCTTCATCGCCAACAAAGCACCTGAAGAGGAGAAAGAGAAAAAAAATGATGACAAAACACCTAACAGGGTTACTTGTTTTAGTAATCTCATACCACGGATAATCGAACCCCTGCGAGTAGCCACAGGGGTGTTCAGCCTTGCAGCAATAGTCCCATGAACCTATTTCGCCACCTTCGATCTCACACGAATAGAAGCCAGTTAGAAGATTCTTTTCACATGGACTCGTTGGGCGACAGGCCTTACCGGCAACGGTGTAGTGACGCCAAGCGACATCTCCTAGAGTTTTTAAGTTAAAGAACATTGTTGTTTTTTTTTTGTGTTTTAAAAAATGTCAATACTTTGTGATTTAGGTGCTTTTTTTTGTTAGAGAACCAATACCAGTTAATATCACCATTGTTTATGCTGGAAAGCTGGTAGTAAACTAGTAGTTTGGTTTGTTTCGCCATAAAAGTAAACTTGAAATTTTGAGGTCAATAAGGTTACATAAATACATAGCTGGATGGGGCTTTATGAGCATTATTCTAAAGTCGATTTTTTTTCGTTATTTACATACAAAACTTTGTAATTGTTTAGATTGGATGTTTACGAGTATCTATTTTACAAGGATATTATTTTACAAGGATAACTATTAGGGTAGTAAAATACAGGTATCAACTGGAGTTAAAGACATTATTACATGCTAAGCTTGTAGTCATTTAAATTTAGCATTACTCCACCAAAATTATACCATTCATGAAATAGGAAGTTGCTAGACTTTTACACTCTTAACTCTAGTTTTTTTTTGTGTTTTTGTTTTTGTTATACGAGTACAATTGAGGTTTGTTTCATTATTCGTTTCATACAACTGCAACTAGTTGTTATTTACACTAGTACTGTGGTGCAACAGGTTAGAAGTTTCAGTTTACCCGGTTCACGGAATATGTCCATGCGGCGATCGTTGTTGACACGCGATCCGCCTATTGTGTTCACCTTATCGCGACAAGTCCAATCGAAGGGATTCCAAGCGAAGAGCCAATAATCTCGTTCGTCCGTATGTGTGTAGTGGACATTCAATTTGAGTTCAGTTTGATCGAGATCCGAAAGCTCACAATTGTAGGATGTGGCGCGAGAGCTGTGAGTGAAAAGTATAAAGCATATGTGAAGAAGTTTAGAGCTAACCATATCCTATGGTAAACGAAATCTTAATTGTAACCGGTGTTGTAAACGTAAACTCAGGCGAAATCTTAACCTTAATCCTAAACTTATTCTTGACATAAGCTTCATCTTAATATTAATATTAACTTCAACTTATTTTTAATCGTTACCTTAAAATCAACTCTAATCTTAATCTTAATACGCAGCGTGCTTCACTGTGCTTTGAAAGTACTTTGATGTTCTTTGATACCCGCAATAATATTTCATTTATTTTTATAAATTTTTGAATAAAAATTTCAAACAGGTGGCAACCCTCTAAAATATTTTCGGCAGTAAACTTTCCTAAACCTCTTCAGTGTATTACCTATATTGCAATATTCAACTTATTTTATCCATTGAATTAAATTAAAATATTCAAACAGGTGGCAACCTTCCGTAAAAATATTTTCAGCTATAAATCTTCTTAAACCTCCTTCCTTTAAAAGCTATATTGGAATATTTATTATATCTTTAAATTTACTTAAACTGCAATTTTCAAACAGGTGGCAACTCTGTTCCTTTTTTCTTTCTATATTCTACGTTAGACCTCTAGAAATATATCGATGAAAACTACATTCAATTACATGCATTAGTTTTCGAGTGATGCGCGTACAAACATACGGACAGACAGACAGACAGGCAATTAGCCAGACAGACAAAAATTCTACAAAATGTTGATTTGGCTTCTCTTGCTCTATCTTGCCAACTCTAAGTTTATTTTAGACACATGGTTTCTTCAGAAAATTTGTTTAGAATTACACGTAGAATCCTTCGTTTTTAACCGAAAAAATCTCCCATAAAAATTAACCCGCCCTAATGTATAGATTTTAATCCCAAGCTTTATCTTGACCTTAATATTAATGTGAACCTTAATCATAATACTAATCGTAATCTTAATCATATTCGTAATCGTAATATTAATCTACCTGCATGTACCTTAAAATCCAAAGTGAAAAATTTTGTCAAATAATCTTACCCATAACTGAAGGAGTAGCACTTAAATGATGTGGTTTCCCGAAAACGTATACACTCCTTTTTACACGCCAGTTCTGAGGGTACTGAGATGACTTTCTTAATAGCTGTTGAGAGCAGTTTCGCCGGCGAACCATAGCCCAAATAACAAACAGCTGTAATTACAAAAAATAAAAATATCAAAAGTTAGAGCACTAAAATGATTTCCCCTTTCAAAAGCTGAAACATTTGCACACACATTTCTTATGTTTCTCATCAACGATCGGTTGTATTTCACAACCATGTCCATAGCTGGCACGCTCGAACACATAAAAGGCTGCATCCTGTATGAGATGACGCTGTTTGTCCATATCTCTCACTGGCCAATCGCTCAGCTGGCAATTATCAATAACGCTCGCATGACGCTGTTGACCGTACCGGTAAGCGAAGGCGCGACAGGTGAATTTGTTCGATTTAATACATTCCATTTCACATTCGCCAACCGAGCGAACCGTCAACGAATCGCGTACGATGGACTTGTAGAAGCGCGTTGCGTCTATGGCACGGAAGAAGCACTCTGCAAGGAAAGAATTGTAGATGCCTAAATGCTGAAAAGTGGAACAAAAGTAACTCCAAACACTCACGTGCATTGCGCGGATCAGCAAGCGCAGTTCCCGGCTCTGTGCCGTAACGTCCAGGATCGTCGCTGCGAGACGATTTACTGCAAACATCCAAGTCATCGGACATTGAGTAGATATCGTAATCTCGATCTGGTTCAATGTCTACATAGTAATCCAAAGAGTTGATCGGGCGATCGCAGAGCATACAGTTATCACGTCCTGCTTGGTTGTAACGATAGCTGTAGGTGTGACAGGTGAAGCCATCCTGACCGGAGCACAAGCGTTCGCACTCAACAAGCGTGGGTGCCGTAGTAGAATGTTTTATGGCGGTTTTGTGTAATCGAAAGCCCTCGCCTATCTTTGCCGAGCATTCTAAGAATTGAAGGAAATAAATTAACTGAAGTATTAACGCCTTTTTACAATTTTACACACCATCTGGGCCCGGCCGCCTTGTCCACGAGTGCCTATAATCATGTCGATCTCGAAAACCGTCCGCACCATATCCGCCATAACTTGAACCAGGGTAACTTAGCACCGAGTTTGGTTCTCGTGCTGGTCCACGCTTCGAGCCACCCAATTCAAAATAATTGAAGTCGAGCGGATCTCTACGCCGATTGTATTCATTTAAACCCCAGTAGGATGATTGCTTACTATAACTGCCACCATAACTACCACCGTATCTGCCCCAGTCCTTCTCCTGCCCAATGAGGTAGGGCACAAACTTTGACGATCCCTTGTAACTGCCGGCTGGTGGTCCATCACGGTCTAAATAATTGTGAGTAGATGGTGGTGGTGGCGGCGGCGGCGGCGGACCTGCCCGATAAGAGTCTGGTGGTCCGGAAGGTCCACTCAATTCATGTGAGCTCGGTCGATATGGCGAGTAATCGGGACCTGGTCGGTAAGGTGGGCGAAAGCGATCACTTTCAGGTGCAGGACGATAGTGTGCGCTATCGTATCCAGGACTGCTGGGTATCGACTCCCAACGATCGGGTCTGCTAGGTCGATAACGGTGATATTCTTCCGGGCGGTGATGATCCTCCGGGCGTATTAAGTCATAGCGATCGATGGGTCCTGAACCTGTACCACTGCTGCCGTAGCCACTAGGTGGTGTGTGCTCAAAATAAGACGAGCCATGCGAAGAAAACTCCAAAGAGCTAGAGTGGTGGTACTCGGAAGATGATGGCGGTGGTGGTAGCGGTGGACGATGATCATACGAAACAGACGACAAGGACGGTGGTGGTGGTCCTGATGGATGATAGTGATCAATGGCAGTACTGCTTGGTGGGCGATAATGATGTTCATCGCTACCATAGTCGCTAGCGCTGGGCGGCGATGGCAAATAGTGATGCTCCTGGCGATACGGTGGCTTGTCAGACCAACCGCCTGGCTTAAAATACAAAGGTGGACTACTTAGAGTGCCACCTTTTGAGCATTCACGACACGCCGACCGCCTGCAACTGGGCGGTGCATTGCGATCGCGTTCATAGTAATCGTAGTCGGGATGTCTGAGGAGATTCGAGTCACGCTGGCCAGAACTCGAGTACAAATCGATTTGCGCCAGTGGAATGTCGATGAGCTCACAATCGCCCCGACCATGACCGGATGGATCGAGACGGTAGTTGAAACCTTCACACATAAAACGTTTCTCAATGCCGCACTGACGCATGCAATCCTCAATGCGCTCGCAGGCAAATGTGCGTCTGACCCAGCGTGGAGAGATGCGCTTACCAGCCAACACGCGCCGGAAACAGGCTGAAAAGTGAGAATAGTTGAGAGGTGTACATATGTATGTATATAATTATGTACATATATCTAAAAACATACGATTTTTAAGTAGTTGCTGTGGGGAGAGGAGGATGGAGGTGAGCGCTTTTGCTTTTTGATGCTGCTGGAAATGGCGTTTTCGTATGGGTCGTTCCATACCAAAACGGACGGGGTTCACACTTCATGTGTTTGATTTTTTTTTTTCATTTTTAGGGTTGATGCATAAACATAAATAATAAATAAATATAAAATTTGAGCTTGATTAATACATGTTTAAAAACTTTACAGCACAAAAAAAAAAAATTCTATTTAATAGTTTTCCAAATATCTCGCGAACGGGCAGGAAAAAAATTTAAAAAAATCACACATACACGCATCAAAATTCTCCATGAAAAGTATATAAAAAAATGTTTTCTTTAAACATTTTTCACATATAAATTTTTTGATAAAAAAATTAGTTTTTGAAAAGTTTTTTTTTTTTTTTTTAATTTTTACCTCGCCCCGTATGTATTAATCAAGCTCAAATTTCATATTTATTTATTATTTATGTACGTTTATGCATCAAACCTAAAAATTTGAAACAAATTACACACCTGAAGTGTGAACCCCGTCTGTTTTGACATGGAACGCCCCATATACATAAATACGAGTACCATGCGGTGAGTCAATGAAGTCAGAAGCGTAACGCGAAGGTCACATAGCTAATAGCCGAAGAATAGAAGTGTGTAGCACATACAAATGCATACCAACAACAACAACAAGAGCATCAAGGGGCGGAGTTTTTCGATGTTAAGCCGCAACAATTTGCACAGAGTTTACACTTAAACGCATTGAATTATTTCCTTCTTTAAATCTCTGATTTTGGCTTTTGCGGATGTATGTACTCCACAAGCGAAATGCTATTTTTACAATAACCAAAAACTTTTCTCGTGCTATAATAACAAAAAAAAAACGATGCAAATTAAAAAAAGAGCATAATTTGCTTTGCTTCAGTAGCCCGCGGATGTGCCTTGTAAAACGCCTGCTTGCCAGAAATATAACCACTTCAATTATTCTTATTCACTTTGGTACATCCGCTTCTTCTACAAAGAGAATTGTTTCTGAATGTTTGCCCGCTTCAATGCGTCTACACCAACGCATCCATGAATGTACATATATAGGTATGTATACCCATACGTATACTTATTTGTACACTATGTAGCTATTGTTGTTCTACGGCATATGGCATTAGTGCGAAATATTTAGCTACTTATGTTCTTCTTAAGTAGCCGACGTAGAATTGTAAGAAATTATAAAAAATTACTCGCATCTCCACACGCATTTTTAAGGTCACTGCTTTTGCATTTGTTAGATTGCCCCATTATAAAGCAATTCAAAGTACAATGACCGTAGATTTTAAGCTTTCTGACCTCCCGAAATCGCGCCAAATTATTTTCTAATGCGTGATTGTTTAAATTGGAAGCAAAGCAAAAATTTGAAGCGAGGCAAAGAAAGTTTTTGAAATTTTTTGTAAATTATTTACGAAAGAAGCATTTTAGTTAAATAGAAATGAGGTCAAAAATAAAGAGAGAAAATTGATATTATTAACATATTTTCATGCGATTGTGATATTGTTTTGTGATTTCTAAAAATGCTTCTGTTATTCTATAATGAAATTATCATATTTTTGATTATTTGGATGGATTACATTTTTTTCAAATATTTGTTGGTTTGGACCAATTATAGTTTGCTTCAAAAAATTTCGTAATACATGTAAAGAAAAGTCTATATTTTCCATTTACATATACATATACATATGTATGTATGTATGTATTTAGTATGTACACATATTGGTTCCAAAAACCTTAAAGCTGGGATCACATGATTTGTAAATTTGTAAAGATTTGTGCATTTTTGCAGACACAGAGTGATGTTGTGCAGAAATTTTTATCGAGAGCAAGGTCAGCTCGATAAAAAGTTTTCCAAACAATCCCACTCTGTAACTGTCAAATCGTAACTGTAACTGTGATCGCAGCTTAAGAGTCTTTTTACACATACAAATTTATTCTAAATAATTTCAAAGCTTCATATTTGTGGTAAAAAGCTGGAAACCGCGAATAATAAAGCTTAGGCTGCAAAAGTTTAGCAATGTTTTTTTTTAGTAAATTGAGGAAATTTCAAACAAAAGCAAAAAATAAGTGTTACATATGTAAGTTCCGGTGAAACCGAATTTCATATATCCGGTGAATGTTTTCTTAAAATGTATTCCTATTACCCATTTCTCAAGATTTAGGATAGGAAATAAGATAAAACGCAGGGTGTGTACTAAGTTTGGGAACTATTGTTTATTCATTAACTGAGATACACATATTCTTCTTAAAGTTTTGTTTGAAGCTTGAACGGCAACTATTTTGTGCAAAAGCATCTAACTTATGCAAAAAGAATGAATTGAAAAAATAGGAAGTCCCATAGCGAGAGTAGGAATTAATTCCGTTTGTAGATTCCAATTTTGTATCCAAAAAATATTTGAAGTATTAAAAAATATAAAATTATTCTGAATATCGCCTGTAGCAATAATAAAGTGATAAGAAAACGACTCCTTCAGGTAATGAAAAAAACGACTCGCCCATGCGGATGTTTTAGAGCGACTGGTAATAAGAAATCGATACGATGGCGATATTACCGGCAACAAATTTGTTGCTTAGGGCAACACGTTTTCTTATTGCCGGCAGCAAAAATTGTCTGGTGGCTAATTTCTTTCAATGTAAATGTGTATGTATGTTTTGATGCAGATCTTTGACAAAAATTAATTGTGATATTTTACTGTTTTTTTTCATATATTTTTCAGACAATTGGTACTACAGGCTTTGGCAAACTTAGTCTTAGAGCGATACTCAGCTGAACAAGGCGTAAAAGTGATCCAAAGGTTGATGGCGAAAGAAGTCACTGGTGGGTAAGGTTTTTTGGCTTCGAAAATGATGCGGTTAACGCTTGTTATGGTGAACGGACGTTATCGTGTTACGCTAATAAACTTTTTATAGCCTTATCTTATCTTGGCACAATAGCCCTTTGTCGGTTTGTGCCGACTTCGCCCATTGCCTCTATACTGCGCGAATTTGGGTCATTTGCTCATTCTGAGTGCAGACAGGCCCTCTTGGTACGTGGGCGCCGTACATGCGTACAACATAGCCGAGCCTGCCCAAATGTGTTAGTTTTATGAGCTTAACTACATATCGACACCTCCAAACCATACTATGCTACGTCTGACTAAGTCTAAGTTGACTTAGCATGGTTTCGTTTGGAGGCGTCGATATTCCATTGATCTTGCGTTTACAACAATTCCCTTTTCTTAAAAAATAGCTTTGATTTCTATTCTTTGACAATATTTAAAATTTACGTTACCTATGCTTTTTGCAATGTGAGAGTTTTTCTTTTACTGAAGGCTAGGGAATCCTTACTTCATAGATTTAATACATGCTTACATAAGCGGAAGGTAAATATGGAAGAGAAAACGATGAGATGGAAAGCGACATTACAAAAATTACATTTAGTATGTAGGTATTTATGCAGGTAATTTATGTCGATTTCGTTTCTACCGAAAAATGCAACTTTTTCTTTGCCCTCTACGCACAAACACTAAGAAGAGGGCGATGGAAAGGCAACATTCGTTTGTAGAAACGAAATCGCCATTATTTAAATTCAATTAATCCAAAAAGGTCCAATATGCGCCGCTAAATGTATTTTTAAGGACCCCAATTGTAGCCGTATGTTGGTGCTCTGGACTAATTCCTTTATGAGCCCAACCCAGTAGGTCCTTCATTTTCAGAAGGATGAGGAATTCCACTACCGGGCTTTTTGAAATTTTCAACGAGATCTGAGTTGTTAAGTATGTATTAAAACTACACCCACAGTCTGCATACGCTTTATGACCGAACTCCCGCGCTACGGCTCTGTCTACTCGACGATTTCTGCAAAAATAGACCGCTAACTGGTTTTGGTTACATTGGGAAGCGGCAGATCCAGAACTTGCTAATTCATTACCCAATTTCTTACTTTGAAAAGACTCTACGCAAGATCAAGTTTGTTGCTCCTCGCGCTTGTATTTAGCCTAAACTCACTTTCGGGGACACAATTGAATGAGCTTTTATGCTTAAAGAAAAGTTGTTTATTTTAAAACCTTAAATATTTTGTATTAGTTCAGTGAAATTGCGAAAAATTGACGAGTTTTTTGCACGCTTGTCAATTCTTTATGAATACTGTAAGGCCAGTCGCAGGGATTGTAAAAGATGATTTGTGGGGCTCCTGGGGTTATGGTTATGGTCAACTTTATTCCAATTTAGGAGAACAGCGATGTTTGGGTTGGAGGCCTCGGACAGCGGAATTTTTTTTAAAAACAGTTTTTTCTTTTTCCATCTAATTTTCTCTTAATTTTTAGATTTTATTGTTTTAAAAATATATTCTGCCTTACCATGAGTTTCGCCTGAAAAAAATTCACCCGAAAATTTGTTACTCGCCCATAGTAAAACCATGGAAACCAAAAATGAAAAGTGAACCGGTTCAGGGAAAATGAAACTCATGATAAGGCTGATTATTTTTCAATTTCATTTAATTTCTAAAAACTTATTTTATGCATTTTTTTATTGTAAAATTTAATTTTTTTGTTATTAATTAAATTCTCTTTTCATAATTAGATTTTAAATATTGTATAAAACAAATTTTCTTTTTTAATTCCACTCCATTTGTAGGAACTTTTTTATTTTCTTTTATAACAATTTTTTCTGTTTTAGTTTTATTTGCTTATAATTTTTAGATTTTATTGTTTTTAAAAACAGAAAAAAATTTAATCTCATTTAATTTTAAGATACTTATTTTATTTTATTTTTTATTTAATGTGTTTCTCTTTCGTTAATTATATTTTATTGCTTTATAAAGAAAAAATATATTTTCTTGTTTCATTTAGTTTTTTTAGTTTTATTTTTTTTTTGTCTTTTTATAGTTTAAATTTCTTT